GTGTGTGTGTGTGTGTGTGTGTGTGTGTGTGTGTGTGTGTGTGTGTGTGTGATGATTATGATATATTTGATCTTCATCAGCTGGTACTGCAAAAACATCAACAGAGCTGAAGCAGAACATTTACTCAGACAAGAGGTGAATAAGCCCATTCATCAATCGTAAATAATTGATCCATCATCATCACCATCATCATCTGTCATTCCTCGTGTGTGTGTGTGTGTGTGTGTGTGTGTGTGTGTTTCAGGGGGGGGGGGGTCACTGACAGTGTTCATATATATGTGTGTGTGTGTGTGTGTGTTATGATGATGATGATCTTCATCAGCTGGTACTGCAAGAACATCAACAGAGCTGAAGCAGAACATTTGCTTAGACAAGAGGTAAAGAAGTCAATCATCAGTAATTGATCCATCATCATCGTCATCATCAACATCTGTATCATCTTCCTCGTGTGTTTCAGGGGAAGGACGGAGGGTTTGTGGTCAGGAGCTCCAGTCAGCCCAGCAGCTACACCGTCTCTGTTTACACACACAGGTAAAGATTCTCCAGCATTTCACTGATCACCTGATCCGCTGATTGATTGATTGATTGATTGATCAGTTCAGTTAAAGGGGAGGTGAGGCACTACCAGATCAAGCAGACAGACGTGGCTCAGTTCTTCTTAGCAGAGAATCACGTGTTCGGCTCTATTCCTGAACTCATCAACTACCACAGACACAACGCAGCAGGTAATTCTGTTCACCTCTGCTCTGTGGTTCTGCTGCGACGAGCCGCTGTTGATCTGTCTGTGTTTGATCAGGGCTGGTTTCCAGATTGCGATATCCCATCGGCCCCATGGGCACATGTCTGCCGGCCACAGCGGGATGTGTGTATTTGAGGAGGAGAGAGTATTTACAGTTCTTATGAATAAACAATGAATATATGAATAAAGCAAGATAGGGTTCAGGTTAGTTAGGGTTAGAACTCTTTGTTTTCTGAGAAACCTTTATGATTAAAACAAGAACAAATATTTCTCAACGGGGTCAGAAAAAGCAACTTTGCTTTGAATTCAGTTGATCCCATTGACTAAAAATAACTCATGCATGTCATTTCCTGTGTAAGTGGGCAGATCTTCCCCTAATGAAATTTACATCTATGCATTCAGCAAACACTTTTATCCAAAGCAGCTTTCATTGCATTCGGAGTATTTATATTGATCACTTTTTGCTTTCCCTGGGAATCGACCCCATGACCTTAGAGTTTCTAGTGATCTACTCTCAGAGCGACAGGAAAACTCACGACCACCTCACACTCTGTTTGTGTGTGTGTGTGTGTGTGTGTGTGTGTGTGTGTGTGTATGTGTGTGTGTATGTGTGTGTGTGTGTGTGTGTGTGCAGATAAATGGGAGATCAACCCGTCGGAGCTGACCTTCATGAAGGAGCTGGGCAGTGGTCAGTTTGGAGTGGTGCGACTGGGCAAATGGAGAGCGCAGCATAAAGTGGCCATTAAAACCATCAATGAAGGAGCCATGAGTGAAGATGATTTCATAGAGGAAGCCAAGATCATGACGTAAGAGACACACACACACACGCACACACACACACTGAGCGAGTGGAAAGTTGCTGAGAAGCTGGAAAGTTTGGTGGGTGGGTAGACATCTGTGTGTGAGACTTCCTGTGCTGCGATCGTCAGATTCTTATCCGTCCTTCATTCAGCGTCTGGTTCTCATTCTACCTGCTCTGCGAGTCGCTCAGATGCTCTGGAAGGATCCGGAGGTGTGTGTGATGGAAACACACGCTCATTCTGCCGGCTTTAGTTTGCCACCTGTCACAGGAAAGAGCATTGATGAGTGAGATCTCAGTGAGGTTTAACAGAGATCAGATGGAGTCTCACACATTGTTCTGAAAAGTTACATTAAAACGGCCAGTTTTCTTGTCTTAATTATGACATTATTTAAAGGTCGCAAAAATGTTTCTTACAACATTCTACTAACTTTCCTCAATTTTCACCCAAAATGTAATGTTATCTGAACGTTTATTTTAATATTCTAAGAACGTTAAAATGTTACAAAAACATTTCTTAAATGCTCTACTAACTTTATTTTCACCCAATATATAACGTTATTTGAATGTTTCTTTTTAATGCTTTAAATGTTTTTTAAATGTTACAAAACATTTTTTGCAAAGTTCTGCTAACTTTATTTCTGTCAGGACCACTATCGTCAAAAATGATTGACACTTAGCATACAGTTTGGATTGGCGGTATGGTTCTGTTCTGGGCAAGAACTCCCTGCGCATCCATGCAGCCTAGCATGGATGAGAGCAGGGAGAGCAGCGATAACCCCCCCAGGGTAAACTGAACAGAACCAACATAAATGTATTGCAGATATTATTAAAGTTCAATAATTTTACGTACACATTTTAGAATTAGTCTGATTCAAGGAGAATCCCGACTGACAGAGGAGGAGTTGGGGATGGAGGAGGGTAATTAGCTATTGAGCAATGCAAAAACTGCTGATAATACTGAGGGATCTTATTTATAAATGCTTAGATAGGTGTCGTATTCCCATAGGTAGATGGGGATCAGCTGAGAGTCAGCTGATGCGAGCTCGACTAACGTGACCTGCCAGAACTAATGCTACGCTTGATTTTCATCCAAAATGTAACGTTATTTGTACTTTTATTTGAAATAGTCTAAGAATATACAAACATTCAGATTTCTTGCCATTAATATGACGTTATTTAAAGGTTAGACAAATGTTTCTTAAACGTTCTACTAACTTTATTTTCACCCAAAAAATAAAATTATTTGAATGTTTATATTTTATATATTTTACTAGTGTTAAACGTTATTTAAATGTTACAAAAATGTTTCTCAGAATGCTCAGTGGGTACAAATTGTGATGGGACGAGGAGAACAGAGGACTCAAAGGCAGAGGATAGATGCAATGGAAAGTTTATTTTCCAAAGGTAACAAAACAAATTAAACTGTAACAAAAAACAGCGAGCCAGTCTCTGGGGTAATCCAACTTCGGTCGGCAGTGTGATGCGGACCAAACGAGTTGATAACTGCCCAAGGCTGAGCACTCGCACAGGACCAACAACCTGAGAGTTGAGCGAGGCAGAGAGCGGCAGTCCTTCTCTCTACGCGTCCTGGGGTGCAGGAAAGACAGAGGTGAGTGCAATCCCCGCACTCACTGGCATCCCCGGAGGACTCACCATGACACCGATGGAACTGGTCGATGAGAGCGCGATCCAGAATGTCGTGAGCCGGAACCAAGCATCTCTCCTCTGAACCATAACCCTCCCAGACTACCAGGTATTGGTGACCTCTACCCCTACGCCTCACATCGATTAGCCGCCGTACCGTATAAGCCGGCAGTGGGGGGGCAGAGGTCTGGGGCTGAAGGGGGAAGCGAATGATGGGCTTGATCTTAGATACGTGAAAAACCGGGTGAATATTCTTAAATAGGGACCGACACCGGACTGAGCATTTTAGAAATGATGAATGGTCCAACGAATTTGGGTCCCAGTTTACGTGAGGGGAGTCTGAAGTGAAGGTCCTGAGAAGACAACCAGACCTTCTGACCGCACACGTAAAGTGGGGGCTTAGTACGGTGACGGTCTACCGACGCCTTGTTCCTCTCGCCAGTCCGGGTGAGGGCTTCTCTGGTGATCCTCCAAGTATGGAGGCACCTCTGAATAAACACATGCGCGGACGGAACAACAGCGTCGGATTCTAGGGAGGGGAATAATGGTGGCTGGTAGCCTAAACAGCACTGGAAAGGAGATTGTAGCATCTGGACCAATCAGACACACCATTTTTCATTTGATTTAACAAATCAATTATTCATTAGATTAACAAAT